GTTACGTTAACGTTACGTACGTACGTACTATACTAGTGCGTCCAGCCACGTAGAGTGTGTGTGTGTGTGTGTGTGTGTGTGTGTGTGTGTGTGTGTGTGTGTGTGTGTGTGTGTGTGTGTGTGTGTGTGTGTGTGTGTGTGTGTGTGTGTGTGTGTGTGTGTGTGTGTGTGTGTGTGTGTGTGTGTGTGTGTGTCGCATCTACATGTGCCAGAAACAAGTTGTAGCAAATCAATACTGTCCGACAATGGATTTGATTTGAGGTGAGGGTTCTGTTAGATATCTGTCTAGACTGTTTCAAAACACACACACTTACACATTTCGACACACTCAGACATGCATTTTGCTATACAAACACAAAAGAAGATGTTGGGCAGTCACCCAGTGTGAACCACATTGAGCTTCTTCCGCAGCTAAAATATTCGTACCATTTTATATTAACCTTTTTTGGAGTTTTTAGGTTGCAAAAACCAACAAAGAGATTGAACGTGGTTAAACCCTCCTTAGGGGTGCTTGTAAAAAAGGATGCCTTTAACCAATACAAAGATTATTAAAAAAAGAGAGAGTTATGGCCCGTTAAGTACAACAGGCCATACCTTGACCGGAACCAATGCTAGCTTTCTGTCATACCCAAAAACAAGTGAATATTTGTGAGGGTCTTCTAAATACAGTATGTTCTGGTATGCTTTCAGTGCCAGGGAAACCGTTGCAACCCTGGAAACATTTGTACTTTGGCCGTAATAATAATCTCTACAAAAACAATAGATTTCATTGCAAATGAACAAATGTGTTGCCTGCATTCAAACCTGACATGGATGTTAAAGATGAGGGTTGGACAGGGTCAGGGTAGGTAGGTCATGAGGCATCAATTGGTCGGCCAGTTTTTTAAATGGTTCTAAAATACGGTGGTGATCGCAGAACTACACTCAGCTTTTGCTTCAGCTGCTGTAGTTTACCACAGATATTGTCGTTTCTGAACGGTTCATTTCTGTGTCTTCAGGCTTCATCAACGGCTGATGGTAAAATTCATTATGAAGAGGAAGGGTATATACAGTAAATTGGCCGAGGTGCAGTTGAAACAGGTGGGTTTTCAGTCTACAATGGTCAAGATTTACTGATATCAATGGTGTTTTTGTTGAAAGGTACCTGGGTCCAAGTCGCAGTGAGGAAGTAGTGAGCAGATCGGTCCATGCTGAGCAAAGTGTGCGTTCTAGAGTGTATAGCCTAACCATGTGTAAAAATGGGCCTGATCCGCTCAAAGCATGGTAGGTACCAGTGTCTTGAAGCAGATTTGGGAAGCCAATGGTTACCAGTAAAGGCAGTGGAGGAGCTGTGTACTATGGGATAACTTATAGTGGTTGAAGACCTGTTGGGCTGTTGAATTCTGGATGAGCTGTAGAGTTTGGATGTCACAGGAGGGTAAACCAGCCAGTGGGGAGTTTCAGTAGACATGAGAAGAGCCTAGACCAGAACATCGTCTTCTAGGTCAGAAGGGGACGTACCCTCTTGATGTTGTTGAGCAGGGACCACCAACTACCTTTTTCCAAGGGCCAAAATGTATCCAATAGACACTTTCGCGGGCCAGCGATTTTTATATATAGTTGTTGACCGGGGGGGAGGGGGGGGCTAGTGGAGCACGCTCATGTACATGAGCGCATAAAGCAGACTCTTCACGCTAACGAAGGATCACTTCTTCATCAGGGCAGGGAAGGCTTCGCAGTACGCAGTGTACTGTCCCGTAGCTGCTGCCTCTCTGTTGGACTCCGGTACTGCACATTACTCAGGAGACGTTGTAAACAAATTTGTGGGGGGCGAACGCACTAGGCACTCCGCCAACGCCACAGTCACCCCCGCCGTCCGGGCCGGATGAGAATGTCTGGCGGGCTGGATGTTGATGGTCACTGTTGTAGAGAGTGTACCCGCAGGAGCAGATCGTTGCAGAGATGTTGGCAGTGAAGGACAGTTGGTTAGCACTTGGGCAGGTTTTGCCTTTGAGATTGCTTGATATAAACTGAGAAACATTTTGGCGACAGTGTCCAAAAGCAGAGGTCCTGGCTGTGGGGCTCGGATGGAGTCTCAGTGAGGGCAGAGTTTTGACCATGGCGCCAATTATTTTGTAAGTTTTGTTCCATTTTCCATGTCATATGTTGCGGAACTCGCATGAGTCCATGGAAACGCAGGCATCCAAGCTTTTTATCATTGGGAAATCGGGTTGTTTTAAATTACAACTTACATCAAGCATGCTGCTGACACAATTCTCTTAATGGTTGCTCATTGGTTCACTAACATTGGCAAATTGGCAAGCATACTTGAAGAAAAGGCATAGAAAACTAAAACGCTGAAACACAATTTCTTTAACATGGAGAGAAACACTTGTGGAGAGCATTTAGAGCTGGGGGAGGTGAGAAGATGGAGCATTTAACCTGGACTATGGAACATACAGAGATGGGCTCACACAGGATGGGTAAATGTCGGCATTTACCTCTGTTGGGGGGCAGTGAAAGCATGAGCAATGATCCCATGATGGGTGTGTGTTTGAAATTGCAAGCCTGTGTCTCTGCGTATGCAAGCTCCTACCAATGTGTTCATGGGGTATGAATTTGTTTGCTGATATGCATTTACTTATGTTTATACGCACACACACACACACGCACATCATTTGGCCATGTGTGTTTGCATGCGCGCAGAGGTGGGGGTTAAGCTGGTGCCGAGGCCCCTATAATGAGTAAGCATTGGCTGGCCAGGGCTAAGATAAATGGTGGGGGCCTGCCACTAGTGCAGCAGTCAGCAGGATGCACCAGGGCCGCAGGCTTGTTTGTGTCAAATGGAGCTCGCAAAATATCAAAGGCCAGCCATCCAGAAGACGCAAGCGTCTGACAAATTTTAAATTAACCATAAAGAGAGAAGGGGGTGGAGGAGCGGGGAGGTTACAGGGTGAGAGAGGAGGGGGTAGGAGTAAGAAGAGAAGGAAGACCGGGAGGTGGACGGAGACATAGAAAAATAAATGTTGGAAGATGGGAAAAAGAAGAAAGAAAAGGGATGGGTTGTAAAACAGTGTGAGAGGATGGATTAAGGGAGAAGAAAAAACTAAATTATGCAATCTTTTGTCGCCCAGCGATATTCTTCCTCCCCCCTCTCCCCTCAACGTTCTTTTCTTGCCTTGGTAATCGCCAGCGCCATTATTGTCATTAGCCGGTGAGGCTGTTATTATTCCAATTGCATACTTACAACAATTGCTCTGTTGAAGAAACAAACAAAAACACACAAATAGAGAGTGAACCATTCCCAACCATGCTGTGAATTTGGTT